TTGTGGGCCACTCTCAAGTGGACCAGCGTCAAACTCAGAGATAGCGTCTCGGGCGGAGCCAGCGCAGACGGGGTCGGCCTCGGGGGTGTCCTGAAATGGGCCAGCGGCAAACTCGGGGCTATTGCCACGGGCGGAGTGGTGTGCGGTCTTCTTCTTGTCGGCGCCAAACTCCTTGCTCAAGGAACCGTCGGACACGTAGGAGCCCGCATCTGTGCGCGTGCCCTGGACTCATCCACAGCCCAATGGTGCCTCCGCTGTTGCCAACCGAGCAGGAGGCCGCGCGATGAGGCCACATGCACAATGCCGTGCACGCTTGCCGACGAACACGACGACCAGCACGTGCACTCACTCCGACATCCGCTGCTGCAGGAACACTACGCCGCTGCAGTTGCCGCCGCAGTCGCCGAGGTCACCGCCGCCACCACCGCCGCCATCGTCGAAGTCACTGCCGCCGTATCGCGAGCCTCGTCCGTCACACCACGATCGACCAGCCCGTCCCCGCGAGACGGCTCCAAGAGCGGCGCGGCATACGGTAATCCACCGACTCACGAAGACGCCACAGCACACGGCAGCGACACCGAGGCAAGGGAAGCACGTGAGTGCACCCACGTTAGGCCGTGGTCCATCTTCCGACATGCAGATGCTCGCGGTTCCTCTCCCGACGCGGACACCCAACCACCACGACGGCGAGCACGCTATGCATCGCCCGCCAGGCCCCAGGCGCCTTCAGGCCCTGGTATGCCCCATCTAGCCCTCAAGCCACCGACGCGCAACTTACGCAACACTATTCAGCGCGACCCAGCGGTCCCCGTGCCGCCGACGAGCATCTTCAACGCCCTGTACCAAAACGGCTTTGCGCTTGGTAACAGTGGCGTGTCTACAGAGGACATCAAAGACGCTCTGCGACTTCACGACCATCCTCGATTCACTCATGATCTAACACTCCAAGCGCTGGGGCCGTGGACTGACATCATGCAGAGGCCCCCGAACCGCCTCACTTGGGTGCTCGAAGACTCGGGCGGAAACTCAGGCGAGACGATTTTCCCCTACCTCACGTGGGACCTCCGCAAACCCACCACCGATGTGCCCACTGTCTTTTGGCATGGGACCCGTGGCGACCTTGCGGCCCGTCTCGCCGCCAGCGGAGGGCACCTCTTGCCAGGCCCCCGCCGTGAAACGAAGGGTCGAACTGGCACCAACGTTGGCCGCACGTACGTGAGTGTGCACCCTTCGCTGGCCGCGTGGTATGCAGTGCCGCCCCACCCGCCCTACAGCCTCGAAGACGACACCCTCGCGTGGGGACCCATCGCGCTCTGGATGTGCGAGGCCACCCAACCACCGAGCGGTGAAAACTGGCACAACTTCGTGAAAGGGGAGGCCCACGGAGCGCGCCTCATCTACCCTCGGGTCCTGGGCCTCCTCATCCGCATGGACTGGTGTGCCCCCACGGAAGCTGCCTCCAGGTGCCGCGCCTTGCCACAAGTATTTGGCATGGGCGACTGTGCGCACGCCCTCCACATCGCTGGCTACGATCATCCAGATCTCCGTGAGGCCGCTGAAGCCCACGACCAGGAAGCTAGCACTCGGCGCAGGCTGGGCATCGCGGCAGAGTGGCCACCGCCGCAGGCACTATACTCGCCAGAGGCAGCGCGAGCATGGGCCAAACAGCATTACGACACTGAAGCAGCCACCAGGGCCGACCCCAACCCGCCCCGGCCACGCGTCTCGCTGCGCAGGCTCCAGCTGGACCCGCAGTCACTGATCGACCTTGTGTACACTGGCTTGCAAGCCGTCCCCGTGCGGGGGCACCCCGAAGCACGCGAGTCGCGCCCCAGCGGCTCCAGCCCTGGGGCCGCGTCTGGCCCACCGCGCACCTACCAGTCAGGTGCCGCCCTGGGACACAGTCCAGACCGCTCATCGACGACATCGGGGGCCGACGACCGCCGTACGCCTTCCCTCATCAGCGCGGCCGCCGCCCTCGCCCGAGGCCACGCCCGCCCACGGCGATCCGCCTCTCGTGCGTCACGGCAGAGTGGCGAAAACTCCACCTCGGACTACAGCGACATCGAGACGTGGGAGCACATCGTGACGGAAGTGGAGCCGACCGCCTACCACGTTCTCGCCTTCCACGTCCGTGATGTGCGGGCCCGTGCCAATGCCCCTGGCATCGAGGTCTGGCTCGACCCTGGCGATCACCACGACGGCGCCTACTTACCGTGGGGGACGACCGTCATGGGCCATCGCGTTATCGACCCTGAGGTGGTGGGTCGCGACGGCTGGGTCATCCTCCACCACGACCATGGCGATACCACTACCAAGCTCTGGGCACCGACCCAAGTCCACGTCAAGGCGGATGACACGTGGCGCACGGTCAAGGTACCAGCGGACATGGGGCCCCAGTGGATAGAGCGCCACGCCGATGACGCTCGCCCCCCCGCCGAGGTCGTCCGCACTACAGGCCAGTCCTGGTTTGCCGACGTCTGGCCCTTGTGGGATCGACCTCGTCCCCACCCTGACGACCCAGGCACAAACGAGCAAGCGCTCCCGCCCCTACCAGGACGCTGGTCATGCCTACAGTGCCGATTTCAATGCTGCCAGTACTGTGCGGCCCGCCGCAACACGCAGCTCGGCACCTCGGGCCAACCAACGTGCCCATACTGCGCCCTCAGCGGACTACGTGCACCTATGGACTGGTCCACGGACTACTCTTGCAACAGCTGGACGTGTGCATACAGCACCGACAACAGGGACTCTGACACATGCTGCCTCTCCAGCAGGTGCCCTCACCCGCCCAGTCCACACAGCCTGCTCGACGTCCGTGCCACAGGGATGCCGCCGC